CTCCAGGAGAACACTCAGACCCAGCAGCTCCAGCACCCACAGGACGAGCACCGCCAGGTCGCGTGGCAGCAGCGCCCTCCGCAGCCGAAGAACCACCAGCACCAGCGGCACGCCTCCAGCGCCGGGCAAACCACTCACGCAGCTCCTGTGGAGAGAGCGGCCCCCGGTGAGACGAAGCACCCCCAGGCACAGCACCTCCAGGCTCGGCACCTCCCGGCTCAGCACCCCCAGGCTCAGTACCCCCAGACACAGCACCCCCAGGCACAGCACCCCCAGGCTCAGCACCCCCAGGCTCAGCACCCCCAGGCCCAGCACCCCCAGACTCCGCACCCCCAGGCTCAGCACCCCTAGACTCCGCACCCCCAGGCTCAGCTCCCGCAGCAGCACCGGAGTCACCAGTGACCTCGACAGGCTCGACCGCGTCTACCTGAGACACACCTGAAGGGGCAGGACCCTGAGGGGGGAGGGGGACTACTGGGGGGGGACCTGGAACCAAGAAGAGGGGGGGTGGGGGGAGGGACGGAGTGCGGTAGGGGAAGAGGCGGTAGTAGGGTACCGACTCGTCGAACGTGACGTCCTGGGAGGACAGAACACGTCGAGAGGTGGGGTGGTAAAACTGCCACCCAGGGGCGTCGGGGGGGAACCCGAGGAAGACGCAGGGAGAAGCACGAGGGGACAGCTTGTCCGCAGACAGGTCGCGAACAAACGCCCGAGATCCCCAGACCCGGAACGCCGACGCATCGCCAACCTTCCCCGTCCACAACAGAGCTGGGGAGGTCTCCGGTCGAGAGACCCTGGGGTGGAGGTTGATCTGGTGCGCAGCGTACCTGACCGCAAACGGCCACAGAAAATGGGGAGCAGCCGCATGCATCATGGACGTACGAGCGACGTCCATGACCATGCCAATGCGGCGCTCAGCGATCCCATTCTGCTGTGGTGAGTCCGGAAGCGTGAAGGTCTGACGGATGCCTCGCACACGACAGTAGGTACTCAGGAGGGCCGAGGAGAACTCTCCGCCTCTGTCCGAGTGCAGACGCAAGACAGGGAAGTCAGAGCCAAAGCTTCTCCGAAGCTGAAGACGAGCTGCGCGGATCCAGTCGATCAACACCTGAGTGACCTCCCCCTTGCTGCGCAAGGGGAAGACTGTGGTGTAACGCGAGTAGTCGTCAACCACTAGCAGGAAGTAGCGCTCCTGACCCTGTCCACGGACGCGGGCTGGGCCCCACACGTCCATGTGAAGCGTCTGCAACGGGGCCTCTGTCGGAGGAAACTGGGAGGAGTGAGGGGCAGCACGCTGGCGCCCCTCGACACAGGGGACACAGGCAGGGCCAGGGCCCGGAGGAAGGGGAGGGAGGGACCGGGGAAGACCAGACACAAGGACCCGCGAGGCCATGCCTCTGAGCCGAAGCAGAGAGGGGTGGCCAAGGCGGTGGTGCCAGAGGAGGGTCTCGTGAGACAGACGACGACACGAACAAGGGGCAGACTCAGGACCAGACCTGGACGCTGCAGCAAACACCTGACCAGACGAAGGGGCCCTACCAGACGCAGTACCTGGAGGAGAAGCAGTGGTCAGTGTGTACAGGCTCGACCCCGGCCGACGTGTAAACGTAGCCAGGTGGCGACCTGTATCCGCCTCCGTACAGTGGGTCACCCGCTGACGAGCAGGGGTGAACTGGTGGACACCTGCATCCTGGAGGTCAGCACCACTCACCAAGTTCGTCGAGAACGAGGGGAGGTAGAGACCAGTCAGGGTGCCAGAGGGGGCCGCCGGACACGGGAGGACAGTGGAGAAGCGAGACAGGACAGGCCCCCCAGAGGGGTCCGCCAGGGACACCGCAACAGGCCGACTCAGCGGCGTGAGAGTGGTGCGGTCCCTAAAGAAGGAGCGAGACGCTCCAGAGTCAAGGGTGAAGGTGTGAGAGGCCGAAGCCGACACAGTACCTGAGAGGGCGGACTCACCAGTACCTGAAAGCACAGACGCACTGGCACCTAGAGCAGCAGCCTCACTAGTACCTGACGCGGCAGTACCAATGCCCGGGTCGGGCGGGAAACACCGGTAACAGTCATCCTCATCACTACCAGTCACAGCATACATAGCAGAGAGAATAGCATCAAAATCAAGATCATAAATAGCTACACCAGCCCTAGACAGCTCTCCCCAGCGGGGGATCTCAGCGGCCTCCGGAAACTGCTGACGCCAGGCGTCGGTCAGGCGGCCAAAGCAGCGACGGGCTGTGTGGGCGCCTCCACACCTCTCCCCTGCACGGTCACCAGTGCGAAGAACGTAGAGGCAGGGACCAAGCGCACCACCGCGCTGACGCTGCAAGTACCACTCACGGAGCTGCTGAGGGCCGGGGACGGTGCGAGAGCGCTGCTGCTGCTGCGGCTGCTGCTGTGGCTGCTGCTGCTGCTGCTGCTGGCGCTGACCACCCCCAGAGCTGCTCCGCTGGGACGAGCCACTCCGACCCCCTCCTCCACCGCCACCCCCGCCTCCACCGCTACCCCCGTCGCCACCGCCACCTCCCCCACCAGGACCGTCGCTCCCACCGCTCCCACCGCCTCCTCCGCTACCACCTCCGCCGCCACCTCCGCCTCCACCGCCGCCACTACTACCTCCACTCCCGCCACCACCCCCTCCGCCACCCCCACTCCCCCCTCCACCCCCACCGCCTCCTCCACCGCCCCCTCTGGCTCCACCCGCTCCCTTGCCCCCCTTGCCCTTGCCAGTGCGGCGTCTGCCACTGGGGGCAGACGCCGCGCCGACCGACTCAAAACCAACGAGGTCGGCCGCAGCGGCAGAGGCGACAGAGGGCAGCAGGGGGGAGGGACCACACCCCTCAAAGATGGGGGTGCGAGGGTCACCCCGAGAGGCCCCTACAGCGACAATACTCTTCTCAGCCGCTAGCAGGGACTCCTCAAGGAGGTCGACAGTGAGAGTGGTGGGACAGACAGAGAGAAACTGGTCCCTAACGACACGAAGGGACTCAGGAAGACGGGTGACGAGAAAGTAGAGAGTGATGTACATGGGAGGAGGGTTCGCAGCGCGGAACTCAGCAGGAAGGGCAGCGCGGTAGCGGGTGTCACTAGCGCGGAGGTGGGTAACGAGGTCAGCGACAGTGGGAAAGGAAGCGAGGTCAGGGAAGAGAAACGGTAGCATGAGGCGGCTAAGGGTAGCGGAGGAAGGGGAGGAGTAGCGCGCAACTACAGCGTCGTACAAGGCCTGAGCGGTCTTGCACTGACTAAAGTGGGCACGCTCAGAGGAAGGGAGGTGGCGACGCACAGCAAGACGTGCAGCAGCATCGCGGGTCGCCCACTTGGAGCGAACGGCAGAGTCAGCATCAGCAGGCGGGGCAGGGACAGCGCCAGAGACAAAGTCAAAGAGAGAGACCTCATCTACCGCATCACACAGTAAGTACAGCTGCAGATCCTCGACCCAGACGGCAAAGTCAATGGCCCTCCCCTCAGCGTCAAAAGTGAGAACATTGGGGGTAGCCATAGCAGCAGCTGAAAGTCTCACCGGGATGGGAGAGTCGGGTAGGTCAGCAGCAGGCGGCTCGGGCTGCTCAGGTACCGGGCGGCTCGGCTACTGCGGGGCGGCTCGGCTACTGCGGGGCGGCTCGGCTGCTGCTGGGCGGCTCGGCTGCTGCTGGGCAGCTCGGCTGCTGCTGGGCGGCTCGGCTGCTGCTGGGCGGCTCGGCTGCTGCTGGGCGGCTCGGCTGCTGCTGGGCGGCTCGGATGCTGCTGGGCGGCTCGGCTGCTGCTGGGCGGCTCGGCTGCAGTGCAGTGGCGGGGCCGGGACAAGGCCGGCGGTAGGGCCGGCGGTAGGGCCAAGTAGGAGCCGGCGGCGGGCCGAGTAGGAGGCCGGCGGCGGGGCCGAGTAGGAGCCGGCGGCGGGGCCGTGTAGGAGGCCGGCGGCGGGCCGAGTAGGAGGCCGGCGGCGGGCCGAGTAGGAGCCGGGGCCGGGCCGTGTAGGAGGCCGGCGGCGGGCCGTGTAGGAGGCCGGCGGCGGAGCCGAGTAGGAGCCGGCGGCGGGGCCGTGTAGGAGGCCGGCGGCGGGCCGAGTAGGAGGCCGGCGGCGGGCCGTGTAGGAGGCCGGCGGCGGAGCCGAGTAGGAGCCGGCGGCGGGGCCGTGTAGGAGGCCGGCGGCGGGCCGAGTAGGAGGCCGGCGGCGGGCCGTGTAGGAGGCCGGCGGCGGAGCCGAGTAGGAGCCGGCGGCGGGGCCGTGTAGGAGGCCGGCGGCGGGCCGAGTAGGAGGCCGGCGGCGGGCCGTGTAGGAGGCCGGCGGCGGGGCCGAGAAGGAGGCCGGCGCGGGGCCGCGTAAGGGGCCGAGTAGGAGCCGGCGGCCCGGGGCCGCGTAAGGGGCCGGCTCGGAGCCGCGTAAGGGGCCGGTGCGGGGCCGCGTAGGAGCCGGCGGCGCAGGGCCGCGTAAGGGGCCAGCGCGGGGCCGCGTAAGGGGCAGGCGGCGGGGCCGCAGGGGAGAGGGCGACCCGAAGGGTCGCTAAAACAAAAAAGGGCGCGCCTCGGGGCGCGCTTCGGTGGGCCCAAAAAAAAAATTCGGTCCTGGAGGGACCTAGCTCTATACCATGTGAAACTATGAGCAGAGGAAAATGAATTGACTAAGTCAGAGTTGGGTACAAATACAACCCTAGCAAACTGTACCCCATATGTGCTACCCCACTATAGCCTACAAACATGCATCAGCTATAATAATCTGACAGGAAGAAGAGGACAACTCGAGTGGGAAAAAATATGCGCGAGGCCTCCGGCGCAAGGGACGGCCCTGCTGATTGTGCGGAGGATACGCGCGGGGCGGCGGGGCCTCGGACTTCCGACGGGTGGTTTAAGAGATCGGCCCTGGTAGGCACGGGGGAAGGGGACTGGGGGGGCGATATCGCGGAGGATGGCGAGGGGGGGGGGCGCAAGTGAATGTACGGATGAGGTTGCGGGAGATGTAGAGCCGATGGGCGAAATAACGGCGACGAGCTTGGCAGGAGAAAAACTCACCATGGTTTAGTCGCGACATTCCCCGAGGGGGGAGAGGGAAGCCAGTGCGGAGAATCAAGGGAGGGAAGCGATGAGGTAGGGCAAGTTGAGGAGGGGCGGCAAACGGATCGGAAGAAGGAGGTGCGGAGGTGTAGTCGAAAGCGAGAGGCGGAAAAGCTGCTTCTCCCGGGGCTGTTGGCGCGGAGTCCGCCCACAAGGAGGCGCAGATCTGCTGCTGTTGCCGCTGATGCTGCCTTGGGAGCTGCTGTAGCGACAGGGAAAGGGAGGGGAAGCGGGCCACTGGAAGGAGATGGGAACGGGGAAGGGATAGGGGGGGGCGAGGGGGGGGGCGCAAGGGAATGTACGGATGAGGTTGCGGGAGGTGTAGCAGCCGATGGGCGAAATAACGGTGACGAGCTTGGCAAGAGAAAAACTCACCATGATTTCGTCGCGACATTCCCCGAGGGGGGAGAGGGAAGCCAGTGCGGAGAATCAAGGGAGGGAAGCGATGAGGCAGGGCAAGTTGAGGAGGGGCGGCAAACGGATCGGAAGAAGGAGGTGCGGAGGTGCAGTCGAAAGAGAGAGGTGGAAAAGCTGCTTCTCCCGGGGCTGTTGGCGCGGAGTCCGCCCACGAGGAGGCGCAGATCTGCTGCTGTTTCCGCTGATGCTGCCTCGGGAGCTGCTGTAGCGACAGGGAAAGGGAGGGGAATCGGGCCACTGGAAGGAGATGGGAACGGGGAAGGGATAGGGAAGGAAATTGCGAGGGAGGCAGGAAGTGGGGGAGAAACTTGTAACGGCCCCGAAGACGGGGCAGGGGCAGGGACTAGGAGAGGAAAGGGGCGAGAGGGCGTGACAGAGGGTGTGGAGGAGGGTGGAGGGGTGCTAGGGCAAGCTGTAGCATCAGCGCTAGGTGCATCAATGGTGGGGGGCACAGGAGCAGAGTCCGGCGCAGAGGCAGTACCACGAGCAGCAGCAGCAGCAGCAGCAGGTACGGCTGGCAAGGGTGGTGCTGCTGCTGGTTCGTCTGGACGGGGCCCGGCAAGGGTTACGGCGGGTGCGGGGGGTATAGGGAGAGCTGCGGCGGCAGGTGGGCCAACAGAGGGATCGAGGGAGGAGAGTGCGAAGGAGGCGAGAGGGATTGCGGAGAGGACGGGGAGGACCGAGAATGGGGGGAGGAGAGGCAACGCAGACGCTCGAGGTGCCAAGAGAGGAACACGGCAAGGCTTGGATCGAGGGGCGAACGCAGCGGCGAGCGCGGGGCCGAACGTGGGAGTAAGAACGTGGGCGAACGGACGGCCTCGGGATGAGGGGAAGGCGACGTCTAGGGAGGGAGAGGTGGGTGAAGGGGCTGCGACAGAAGGGATGGGGGCGAGGGCGGCAAAGCGAGAGTTGGGGAGGAGGGTGACGGGTGAGGCAAAGGGCAAGCGGGTTGTGGGAGGGAGGGGTCGTGGCGTTCTATATTCGAAGAGTCCCACGAGCAGCGGACGTGCAGTTGAGGTGGAGACCGAGGGAGGTGGGAGGGGTGAGGAACATATTCGAAAGATCGGGAGAATCGCATGTCAGGAGAAGGGTGAGGGGGGCGTGAGGGAGAGCGCTAGTGAGGAGTTTTGGGGGTGTGAGGCCGATTGTGCGAGCGTGGATGCACACGAGTATGAGGTAGAGTGTGAGGAGGAGGAGGCGTGTGGTGTGATGGGAGAGGCGTGGGGGGGTGAAGAGGGGCGCGGGAGAGGAGAAGGGGGTAATAAACCATGCGGCGGTTTTGTGACTCCGGCACTCCTGAAGACTCGGACAAGAAGGGGACCGAGGGGAGGGATGAGGGACAGGGTGCAGACGGAGTAGGGGTGTGTTCTTCCTTGTAATGTGACCCCTGAAGTTCGGAAGACGCCTTTTGCAGGTGGTCAGAGAGGGAGGGTGAGTGATGGAGGGCGCAGAGAGAAGGGAGTTGAAGATGGGGGTGCTGCGCGGGCGGTATGGCGAGCAGATGGGAAATGTGGAGGGGGGAGCAAGCGGAAGCAAGCAGAGCTGGGGATGGGGGGAGCGGAGGGCGTGGGTTGGGGGGTTGGAAGTAGGGACGAGGAAGCGGGATACGGAGTGGGAGGAGTGGGATTTGTGATGGGGGTGAAGCCACCACGAGCAGTGGGTGCGGGGATTGGGTATGCAAGGGGCGCGGTTTGGGGGGGTGCAACTAGGCAGGATGCAGCATGTGTGGACCTTGTATGGGGTAAACCGGAACGGCATGCAGTATACGGAGATGGAGTGAGAGTTGTGAGGGTGAAGAGTACATCGGAGGTGTTGATTGCAGGAAATGGGTGTGCGAGACCAACTGCTGTTGTTACACGAATTGTCAATGCTGATGGTGCTGCCAAGGTAGCCGACGTGGCCAATGCACCTTCCCCAATTCAGCCTTGTACTGACTCACCACTACCCGCTCCTCCTGCTCCCTCACGTCGCAACTGCTACACCCCCCCTCCTTCTGCCACTTCCTCCCTCGGACCTTCCAACCCACCTCCCTACCAACATTCCCAATGGCCATCCAAAAGAGGACGCAATAACCTACTACACTCTCCGAATCCCAGCCCTGCGCCTCTACGCTTCAACACCCCCGCTGAACGGGGTGCTTCTAACTTTCTACCCCGTATACCCCCGATCAATGCTTCTAGCATTGCGAATCTGAACTTGTCCCGGAGAGGTGCGAGTCCTCCCAACACTCCACCCCATCGTTGGGCTCTCCACTTTCCCTTTCCATCCCCGTACACACCTGTCAGTGTCGTTGTCTCTCATCTTCTGTATCTAGTCAAACCGCACCTGCATCGATTGCCCTCCACCGTGTTCTCTCTTATAGGCCACGTCGGCTATGCTGGAATCTTATAGGCTGTCTTTTTGTCTTGTTGCATTTCCATGCATTCTGCCGTCCCTCGCATGTTACCCGCGTTTGCTCCAACTTTCCCTCATTCCCTCATTCCCCCATTCACTCGGCCCCGTACGCTCCCCATTCCCCCATCTTCCTACTATGCTCTTGCTATATTGTGTTGGTGCAACCCTACGGTTTGCACTCGGCTTGTTGTTCGTGTGCGTGCATGTGTGAGTGTATGGAATGGTATGAGGGCATGGGATAATATATATTTCATGCTTATAATTGTGTGTGAATGTCGAGTCATGATGTCGAGCGTGTGTGTCGAGTCAATAGCGAGTTATCGCTAGACGCGTGTTACGCGGTCGTTTGTGTCTCGCGCGCGGTTTTTATTTTGTCGTGCGCGGTTTCTATTTTGTCCTGTGTTGGACGTTCGGCGTGTCATAGGGGTGTGCAGCAGACCCATCAAGAACTCAAGGATGAGTTTGTGATGAAGAGCCCGAGCCTTGGTGTCAAGCCTCAAGTGATTTCGAAGCTCGCCAAAAAGGGTACACCTCAAGATATTGAAGATAGTTACATTACTTTGTGTAGTGTAACATTTCACTTGGTGTAGGCCCTAGTGAAAGGTAGTTTCGAGACCCTTCGTGGTTGGGGACAGTGTGGCACTGTTCCACATCACTGTACCTCGGCTCTTGGGGTTTGTAGGAGCTGGGAGTCATTCCCAACTCGTAACTCTTCCTATCTTGTGTTCTAAGACTATAGTGGCTGCCATAGTGCCGTTCGTTCAAACTGACGTTGTGTCGTCAATACTTGGTGAAATCGTGCGATCTAAATTGCCTATTGCAGGCGACAATAAAACGCTCCAGATCCAAGTTGAATCAAGTCATTTAAAGCAGTGACCAGAACGCTATGAACGTTTCAATCCGCAGTGCAGAAATCCGGCTGTGCACTCTATCTTTCGTTTTAGGCACATTGGAGCCTATTATGACTATAACATGTGCTCGGCTCGAGACACTTTATATGGACTGCCCTCTCCGTCTCAAAGCCATTCCGCCTTCCATCGGCGGTCTTACTGGTCTCACGGACCTGCACATCATTGCAAGCAGCGTCACTCACCTCCCTGACAGTATCGCCTCGCTACAGTCACCCGAATTCCTTGTGCTGCGCATGCACTCCAGTAACCCCCCATCCGCTGCCCTGCTTCCCCCCATCAACTGGCTTGTTGGACGAACAAACTGATTGGACCAGCTAATAAGCTGTTCCAACAAGACGGTTGGACCAACTGGGCAGTTGGTCCAACACAAATTCGCACCCATCACCTCTCCTCTCCTCTCCTCGGGACAGTGCAATGGGTAAGCGTGTTAGAGGACGACGTAGGCGTCGACGATGACGAGCACCTTATTTGGGACATGCAAGTACTCTTAGGGCGAGTTCAAAGGCGAATCAGTATGTGTGGATGCCAGGCCTTGTCGTTTGCTTGCCTGTGCAGATGGTACTATGGATTCCTCAAGAAGCGACATCAACTGGCTTGTTGGACGAACAAAACGGTAGGACCAGCTGATAAGCTGTTCCAACAAGCCTGTTGGACCAACTGGGCAGTTGGTCCAACACAAATTCGCACCCATCACCTCTCCTTTCCTCTCCTCGAGACAGTGCTATGGGTAAGCGTATTAGAGAACGACGTAGGCGTTGACGAAGACGAGCACCTTATTTGGGACATGCAAGTACTCTTAGGGCGACTACAAAGGCGACTCACTACGTGGGGATGCCAGGCCTTGTCGTTTGTTTGCCTGTGCGGATGGTACTATGGGTTCCTCAAGAAGCGACATCAACTGGCTTGTTGGACGAACAAACCGGTAGGACCAGCTGATAAGCTGTTCCGACAAGCCAGTTGGACCAACTGGGCAGTTGGTCCAACACAAATTCGCACCCATCACCTCTCCTCTCCTCTCCTCGGGATAGTGCAATGGGTAAGCGTGTTAGAGGACGACGTAGGCGTCGAAGATGACGAGCACCTTATTCGGGACATGCAGGTACTCTTAGGGCGAGTTCAAAGGCAAATCAGTACGTGTGGATGCCAAGCCTTGTCGTTTGCTTGCCTGTGCGGATGGTACTATGGATTCCTCAAGAAGCGACATCAACTGGCTTGTTGGACGAACAAACCGGTTGGACCTGCTGATAAGCTGTTCCAATAAGCCGGTTGGACCAACTGGGCAGTTGGTCCAACACAAATTTGTCAGAACATTATAGCTTACTTATTTGTGTAGGCTATAGTGGGGTATCCCATAGGGGGTACAACCAAATTAGGGTTTCATATTTGTACTCACTTCATTCATAGTTCATTCATTCTCGTTCTTTCTTTTCACATGGAATCAGAGCAGGTTCCCTCCTAGGGACTGCTTCTAGGGCCCACCGAAGCGCGCCCCGAGGCGCGTTTTCCTTTTTTTTTAGCGACCCGTTGTGTCGCCCCCAGCGGCCCGTCGCGCCGCCCTTCCCTTAGCGGCCCCGCCGCCCTTCGATCGCGGCTCCGCCGCGCTTCCTTAGCGGCCCCGCCGCCCTTCGATCGCGGCCCCGCCGCCCTTCGATCGCGGCTCCGCCGCCCTTCCTTAGCGGCCCCGCCGCCCTCTGCTAAGCGGCCCCGCCGCCCTTCGATCGCGGCCCCGCCGCCCTTTGCTAAGCGGCCCCGCCGCCCTTCGATCGCGGCCCCGCCGCCCTCTGCTAAGCGGCCCCGCCGCCCTCTGCTAAGCGGCCCCGCCGCCTTGCTCACGCGGCCCCGCCGCCCTCTGCTACGCGGCCTCGCCGCCGCGTCGCCCGTGCACCTGCCCGTGCACCCGCCCGTGCACCTACCCGTGTGGCCGCCAGTGCAGCCGCCCGTGAGCAGCCTACGAGCCGCCCCAGCCGCCCGTGCAGCCGCCCGTGCATCGCCCGTGAGCCGCCCCAACCGCCCGTGCAGCCGCCCGCGAGACGTCCCAGCCGCCCGTGCGGCCGCCCGTGAGTCGCCCGCGAGACGCCCGCGCCGCCCGAGCCGCCCGAGCCGCCCGCGAGACGCCCGCGCCGCCCGAGCCGCCCGAGCCGCCCGCGAGACGCCTGCGCCGCCCGAGCCGCCCGAGCCGCCCGCGAGACGCCCGCGCCGCCCGAGCCGCCCGAGCCGCCCGAGCCGCCCGAGCCGCCCTTGCCGCCCGAGCCGCCCTGAGGAGCCGATCTTCTGCTCCTGTGGGGCTCCTTCTGCTCCTGGGCCGGCGCAGCTGCTGTGGTGCCGTGTTGCTGTGTCGCTGTGCTACCCGACTCTTCCTGCCCGGTGAGACTGTCAGCTGCTACAATGGCCACCCCCAGTGTCCTGACTTTTGACGCTGAGGGTCGCGCCATTGACTTTGCAGTCTGGATTGAGGACCTGCAGCTTTACTTACTGTGCGATGCGATCGATGAGGTTTCTCTCTTTGACTTTGTCTCTGGCGCTGTCCCTGCCCCTCCTGCTAATGCTGACCCCACTGTTCGCTCCAAGTGGGCCACACGCAATGCTGCTGCACGTCTTGCTGTGCGTCGCCACCTCCCTTCCTCCGAGCGTGCACACTTTAGTCAGTGCAAGACCGCTCAGGCCTTGTACGACGCTGTAGTTGCGCGCTACTCCTCCCCTTCCACTGCTACACTGAGCCGCCTCATGCTACCGTACCTCTTCCCTGACCTTGCTGCCTTTCCCACAGTCACTGACCTCTTTACCCACCTTCGCGCTAGTGACACTCGCTACCGAGCTGCGCTTCCTGCTGCCTTCCTCGCCGAAAACCCCCCTCCCATGTACATCACCCTCTACTTTCTAGTCACCCGTCTCCCTGAGTCCCTTCGTGCTGTTAGGGACTAGTTTCTCTCTGTCTGTCCCACCACCCTCACTGTCGACCTCCTTGAGAAGTCCCTGCTAGCGGCCGAGAAGAGCATAGTCGCTGTAGGGGCCTCTCGTGGTGACCCGCGCACCCCCATCTTTGAGGGGTGTTCTCCTTCCCCCCTGCTACCCTCTGCCGCCTCTGCTGCTGCGGCCGACCTCGTTGGTTTAGAGTCGGTCGGTGCGGCGTCTGCCCCCAGCGGTAGGCGCCGCTCTCGAAGGAGCAAGGGGGGCAAGGGAGCGGGTGGAGCTAGCGGGGGCGGTGGCGGAGGAGGTGGGGGCGGCGGGGGGAGTGGGGGTGGCGGTGGGGGTGGAGGCGGGGGTGGAGGTACTGGTGGCGGCGGTGGAGGCGGAGGTGGCGGCGGAGGTGGTGGCGGAGGAGGCAGTGGGAGCGGCAGGGGCGAGGGTGGCGGTGGCGGCGGAGGCGGCGGAGGCGGGGGTGGCGGTGGTGGAGGTGGTCGGAGTGGCTCGTCCCAGAGGAGCGGCACTGGGGGTGGTCAGCGCCAGCAGCAGCAGCGCTCTTGCGACGTCCCCGCCCCTCAGCAGCTCCGTGAGTGGTACTCGCAGCGTCAGCGTGGTGGGGCGTTCGGTCCCTGCACCTACGTCCTTCGCACCGGCGACCGCGCGGATGAGCAGTGTGGGGGCACCCACACCGCTCGCCGCTGCTTTGCCCGCCTGACCGACGCTTGGCGCCAGCAGTTTCCGGAGGCCTCTGAGATCCCCCGCTGGGGAGAGCTGTCTAGGGCTGGTGTAGCTGTGTTTGATCTTGACTTTGATGCTATCCTTGCTGCCATGTATGCTGTGACTG